TTTTGTTTGTCGGGATTTGTTGATTGTTTCGACATATCAAAAGCAAAATAACCTTCATTGAGCTAAGTATAAATTTGATAAATGTATAATCGTTTCAGTTTATAAGCTATGTAGTCTTTGTAGTATCTGCTTCGCCTTATCGCAGGATTGCCTAAAAATAAATATGCATATTAACTAATAGGTAAATTATAATTTTCCATTTACATACGCGAGAAGTGGGTTAGTTGCATCGCAATTGTCCAGCGTTTGTCGTATATAGCTAATAAACAACTCCAAATTCTTTAGCGTATCACTGTTGGTCAGCAACCAAACCGTTGGCAGAGTATTCACAATAATCGAGACTTTGCTAATAGCATCATTTGGTGTGCACACGCGCATGGCCATTAGCAGATAGCGATTCAACAGAGCTCCAATAGCTAGCTCCCTTAAGGGCTTGTCTGCCAGTATGCCCTGCCAGCTAAGGAAGTTGCGAAACAGTTTAAGCCCACTGCAAAACTGACGCTGAAAGAACGAGCCCTTGGCCTCCTGCACCCTAGAATCAGCATTGTATATAAATTAAAATACATTCATATTACAGAGAGAGTTCTACATACTGTTTAGGAAAGATGGGTATGAAAACATCATTTTCGAGTGCGAATCGCATGCGTTCCATAATTGACTCGAAAAGCTTTTTTAGTTGCTTACTGCTGCTGCTGAGCGGGAATTCACGAGTCAGACGATTGATAAAGCCGACAAGACGTAGCGTTTGTGTCGTGGACAATGGATCCCAGCATTCCGCGACCAAAGCTTAAATATTCAGTAAGAAAAAAGGCCAATTAACAAGCAACTCATAATTCTAATACTGCCACTTACAATTCACTTTGGGCAACACAATCTTTTCTATAAGTGAAGGCACAAGGTTGAGGTCTGGATCCTGTTTGAGTTGCTCAACCGTTTCATCCGACTGGCAGGCGTAAAGCATACAGGCTTGATACCAATGCATTGTCTCAATGTCCGTGTATTCCTCCAGCAAAGGTGACCAGAGCAGGAGCTCGTGACGCACCAGTGGTGCGAGAAGCTTGGGCAGACATAGACTAACAAATGCGTCCTGATACGAACTCATGTCTGTCTTACGCCACGCATAAAACTTCATGAGTATCAGATCAACTTTGCAGAAGTCATCATTGACGTCCTCAAAGACCTCAGCCGCTTGCGCTTCGATCAGGGCTTTCGTCGCGACGCACTGTTCCTGTTGTTGATCGGCAATCTCGTCATCGCTGGACATGCCATCCAGGTGGGTGGCTAACAAATAATTGCGTTCACGTTCGCAACGTCGACGTGTGCGTCGGCCTTCCCGCTCAGCTGCTCGACGCACTTGCTCCTCATATTCCGGTGTTCGACGTGCTGCCGCTTGCACTGGTTCTACGAATTAAAATATAATGTACATTAATTTTTTATACATAAGCTCATTTTTTTCGGTTCGTTTACTTGAGGCCTCCGCCATTTCCTTGGCCTGATCGCGGACATCCTGCCGCCTTCGATTAACCAAATAGCGTTGATTCTTGCTGTAGAGCTGCAGAGCGCGTTTCTCCAGATCGTTTATCAACGGAGATTTGGCTGCCAGACAATCTATCAGATCGTTCACATAGCACTTAATCTCCTGGTAGAATTTATATTTAGCTGCCGCCGTGGGCGCATTCTGTTTGCACTCGCTCTGCTTCAGCTTCAAAGACTTCAGTTCCGCTTCGATGCGCGTGATGCTCGCATTGTGTTCATCGTTCCGCTCCCGCAATTCCGTAAGACGCATTACTATCGTGGAGCGCATCTCCTGTGGAGTACGCAGCGCGGTTGCCTTCGCTTTCTCTCGCTTGGCTTTATGGAGAGTGGCACGAATGTTGGCTGCCATTATACTATTTTTGTCCAGGTTGGTCTTCGCATAGGCCTGTTCCAGCAACGTCGCAGTTGATGGCGTCACTGGATCCACATCCATCTCGAAAGCTCCATCATCTGCTCCACTGTTCGCTGCCGGCTTGATCATGAAGCGCGATAGCACAGTCTCATGCTGGGCGTGAACCAGCTGAGCACCCGTAACGCCTTTTCGTATTTGCTGATTCTCCCATTCGTGCATTTCGCGATCGGAATCTTCCTCAGTTACTAAAGTGTGAATTGAACGTATTGAAATATTAGGCAATATATCCACATCAATTATAGCAACATAAAAACGTCGTCTGGTCTTGGACAGAAAGCATTAGCTATCTAAACTACTACATACAATCATTCTCAACGGCATAGAATTGTTCGCGACGCTCTTCGCGCTCCTTGAGACCCGTTATGTCGTTCATATCCATGCGCTCCTCATCGTCCGACTGATCGCCCTCTACATCCTCGCGTGGCAATCGTGTACTCAGCTTTGGCGTTTCCTTCGGCTCCTCAATGGGTATGTAATCCACGGCTCCTTAAAATGTTTGTATTTATGTATATGTCAATCAGTAAATAATCGGCGTTTACCTTGCTCTCTGGCCCGCTGTCTACGTTTTCGTGCCGCGTGTATCATTGCAGCATCTGGTATAGAGCCGCTCTCAAGCATTTGCTTTAAGTGCTCCGGCTTTGAGAACCGATGGCGTGTCTTATCGCTTTCGCCATCATCAAATTCATCATCATCGCTCATATCATCGCGACCAGCACATAGAGCGGCGCGTCCATTTAATAGCACATCTGGAGTTTCCGACTTCTTGACCACAAGCTAAATGTTTTGACCAAGATTAAAATAATATATTATTGAATGTATTTACGCCAAGATTAAATCATAAAACACAATTTTGTACACAGTCCGAGATAGGTTATGGTATATCAGTAACAAGAGCTCTCTCTCATCTCAATTCTAATCTCGAATTGTGTTTTGGGTTTAGTAAACATGCAATAACTAGTTAAGTTGCAATGGCTTAAAAATAAATAGTCACTAAATACGCCTCATAGGCAAAAACGTATTTACAATATGTATTTTAAAAGTACGGGCAATGAATCGTCTTATGGCTGTAGCATTCATTATTTTGGAGTCAATTTGGATTTAAAAATCCAATTCGATGGTTTTAATTATTTATACAACAATCAAGCCAAAGAATTATCCATGATTATAAAATTTTTTTCATAGTGAACTCTACTTCGTATTGATTTTATACAAATTCGATTTTGTACGCAAAACGTAAATAATTGTTTTTTTTTTATAAGAAATTGAATAATAATAACCTTACCACAAAGTCGTCTGTGCGTATTTCGGTTTGGATCATATCATTATCACACTTTTTACTTTTACTTTGTACGCTCGCATTGTCGCTAGCTATCGAAGTACATTTATATCTACTAGAGAGATTGGCTGAACCAGCAGCACCAGAACCCGAAGCCGAAGAAGAGACCGAAGCCAAATCCGAAGTGGCACTGGACGACTCTAAATGCTGTGTATTACCACCATTCTCATAACCAAAATGTCCGCTGTGTCCAGTTATTTCCGCTCGTTCCTCGCGCTTCTTTTTGCGACGCTCCTTGTCCAGCATTCGCATTACTTTCTTACTGTGCGAAGATTTGCGCACTTGGAACACTTCTCCATCGTCCTCTGCACCAATAAATGAATTAATCAATATTAAATTAAAAATATGTATATTACTTGAGGAACTGAGGAATTTCACTAACCATCGTCAGCAAAGCTGAGAAGAGCTTTTGGCTTTTGTTGGACGGCAACTCCGCCAGATATTGCTCCACTGTCATCGGATTGTCGAATTGTTTTTTTTATTTTATCTTTGTCACGTTTGCCGGATGAGATTATTGGCGGCGGGGGTGGGGGCGTTTCCAATTCTCCATGGATGTCCACAGCCGAAACATCCTCGTCTTCGTCTGCATTGCTGGAGAAAACCCGTCGCTGTATTTTCTTGGGTTTGCGAAAAAGCGACATTTGCTTCACGTGTGCCTACTAAGTTAATTGTAAATTACAGTAATTATCAATAAGCAAATCCGAATTTAGCTCACAAGACGTTTTTGCAAAAAAAAATCTCTTCTTCGCTTTTTTACTCGATACCACCGACTCGATATGATTGGACAATCGAATTTATTCAAGGGCTGCAGTACATTTGTTCAAGGAATGTTAATCCTCTCGTTAACAGCACACTTCTTTTCAATGAATAATAT